CCCCAGGACGTCTACCTGGATTGCTCACTGCCCTAAATTCCTAGAGTACCAGCGCTGTGCCAGTTGTCCCTTAATTACACATCCTTTGCTAGCGCTGACGAATGCCGCTTGTGTTTGTTTTACCCAAACTCAAAGTGTGAGCATCCTCCCAGACCCACCAGACCTCCACCTCCCACCCCCGACACATTCCCTTTGAAGATCAATGGAGACCCTGTCTCCTCTGTGAGCCTTCGCCTGAGCTGTGACCCCCACGCCCGAATGCCCTCCTCGGGGCAACGGCCCACCCACTGCTTCCAAGAGGCCTTTCCCAGTCCTGGCCCTGCAGCGCCCGTTCCTGCCCCTCAAGGCCTAGAAGAACTCTGTTTCCTGTTCTGCCATCTGTGTGCACCTGCCCGGCCCCGCCACGCAGCCACCCCCCCTCCCCACCCTGTGCGCGCTGACGCCTCGTCCTCGTGCCCCGAAGGGATGATGAGCCAGAGCCCAGTCTGCAGAACAGCCACGCAGGCCCTGCCTGGTGGGAAGCTGCGTTTTCCAGCCGGTGGGGCATTTAGAGACAGACCCTTGTGTCCGCCTCTCAGAGGAACCAGCAGGAAAGGAAGGAGGATTAAAATTTAATCCGATTGATCCCCCAAGGGGCAGTAAGTCCTGGCTGTTCCTGCCCAAGGCATCTGAGGGGCTCCTGCCCACTCGGCTTCCGGCCCCTGAGGCTCAGCCCAGGCAGGGGGACCCCCGCCAGCCTTCACTGGGGGCAGAGGCCAGTCCCCACAGCCCCCAAACCAGAGGACTCTTCCGGAGGAAGAGTCTCCCTACCCTCTGCCATTCATTCATTTGTTCAGCAGACATTTAGTAAGCACCTACTGTGTGCCAGGCACTGTTCTAGGTGCTAGAGATATAGCTGGGAGAGAAAGACAGATATCCCTGTCCTCACAGAGCCTCTGTTCACAATAAACACAATAAACAAGAAAATATGAATTATGTCCAGTGGGAACAAGGGCAAAGGACAAAATTAAAGCCAGGGAGAGGAGGCGCTGACGGTTTTCAGGATTAAACAGAGGGTCAAAATGGGCCTTGGCTGAAAAGGGGACATTTGACCAAACAGCTGAACGAGTGACAGAGTGAGCCCAGCGGGAAAAAGGAGCTGCGGGCAGAGGGCGCAGCCAGTGCAAAGGCCCTGAGGCGAGAGCACGCCTGCACAGTCAAGGAAGCACAAGGGTCAACGGGGCTGGGGCACAGTGAGGCAGAGATGAAAGGAAAGAAAGGGGGATCGGGACAAGGAGGGGCAACTTCCTCAGGCCCTCGTTGTGCCTGCATGTGATGGCTTGAGTGTGATTCCGTCTCCCCCCAACAGAAAGCCAACATGAGTGGGCTGGGGCCGAGGTCACCACTGCGCCCCCAGTGCCTGGAACAGTGGGAGGCCCAGAGCAGATGTCCGGTTACACGGCTGCTGAATGAATGAATGAATGGACAGGATAAGTGTGATGCGCCCTGCGCACCTGAACATACCAGGCAGAGGCCTGGTCTCAGAATCCCAGGAACCAGGGCTGGAGTCCTAGCCCGACACTCACTAGCTGAAAGGCCGCGGGGAAATTAACCAGGGCTTCTATTTCCTCATCTGAAAATATGGAGTAGAAGTGCTGAAGGAAGGCCAGTGACTCCCACTTACTGTCAGAACCCCATCAGGATGAAATCAGCATAAATGGGCATAAAGCCCCCAGCCTGAGGCGCTGCGGGGGAGAGAGGACAATGCCTGTGCTCTGGGACCCCAACTTGGTAAGCACCAGCCCGGGGTCGGGGGCACAGGCTGCATAGGCCCCGCCAGCCTCTGCTCCACTGCCCCTGACCTCCTCTTGGGAGAAGCGCCCCCCTCCTCTATCTAGTCCCTGGGGCAGGGTGGGGAGGGGGCTGACTCCACCACCAGACTCCAGAGGTTGGCCTAAGATCCAGCCCTGACCAATCAGCGTACTCAAATCCACTGGCCTCCACTGGCTGAGAAGTAGGCTCGTGACTCCAGCCAGCCAATGAGAGCCAACCCTGGGACTGTTGCTGAGACGTCTGGGAAGAGTTTCCCACCTGGCCTGGGAGTGGTCAGTGGGCCTAGAGCTGCGGGCAGTCATTTCTCCATGTCCTGGGAAACCCCGCCGGGGAATGACACTGGCACAGAGAGAGCAGAGGTGGGGACAGAGCGCTCCCAAACATCTTTGTTTGAGCACCTGAGTCCACACATACTTGAAGTAAACTAACACCAACTTTCATTGCGAGACTCAATAACCCCTCTTTAAGCCTCAACCAGTCTGAGCTAAGTTTTTGCCTCTTGTACCCAAGAATCTTGACTTCCTGGACCCTTCCTGGCACAGCACTTCACAGTTTACAAAGCCCTTCCAGTCACCGTCTCAGCCACATCAACTCTGTGGCCTCAAGAATGTGGCCAGGGGGACTTCCCTGGTGGCGCAGTGGATAAGAGTCCGCCTGCCAACGCAGGGGACATGGGTTCGAGCCCTGGTCCGGGAAGGTCCCACATGCCACGGAGCAACTAAGCCCGTGCGCCACAACTACTGAGCCTGCGCTGTAGAGCTCGCAAGCCACAACTACTGAGCCCGCGCGCCACAACTACTGAAGCCCGTGAGCCTAGAGCCTGTGCTCCGCAACAAGAGAAGCCACCACAATGAGAAGCCCGCGCACCACAATGAAGGGTAGCCACAGTTCACCGCAACTAGAGAACGCCCGCGTGCAGCAACGAAGACCAACGCAGCCAAAAATGAAATAAATAAATTTATTTAAAATGAAGAAAAAAAAAAAAAAAGACTGTGGCCAGGACCCGGGACCATGGAAGGCCTGGAAGTGAAATAAACCACCCAGCTCATGAGGGCACAGGCTGGACTGGAATCCAGGCCCACCCACCACCCTCCCTCACACAGAGCTGCAGAAAATCAGGGCAGGAGGAAGCGGGAATTCTGGCAGGGAGACCACCCAGGGTAAGACCTGGGAAGGAGTGTCTTAACTGCTCTTGGGGGAGGGGGAGTGCTGAGGCCAAGGAACCAAAGACCAATCAGATCTGTAGCTATAGCTCTTTGGGGAGAACCTGGTGAGACCCGGAGGGGACCCCCCAAATTACTGCTTAGGCAACCCCCCAGGGAAGCGGGGACGAGTGGCTGGGATGGAACGTGGAGCCAATTTCCCACAGGGGGCACCAAAGGCCTGTGCCTTCGAGTCTGGCTGGGGAGGGCTGAGGGCTCCAGCCTGCTAGAGTCTGCCGGCCCCCAAAAGACTGAGCCCCCAAAAAGGGCCAAGGGCACTGTGGTGACATCCTGGGCAAAGCCATCAACTTGCCACCACAGCTGCTGGAAGGAACTGTGCCTGCTTTCCCACCCAAGGATCAGGGAGGGCAGGCAGAGGGGCTGCCTGGGGCTCTGCTTTTGTCCCCCCTACCACAGGCTCCTGGAGCCAACTTAACCCTGGCTCCGATCCCCAGCCTCAAAGCTCACTTGCTGTGCAGTCTCAGGTAGGTCACCTTCCCTCTCTGAGCCATGGCTTCTTTATTTATTTATTTATTTTAATGCCATGGCTTCTTTATGAGTGAAATAGAGAGAATAATAGTACCTATCTTAAATGGGTCTGGAGAGGAATAAATGAAATCATGCAAAATATAAACAACAACAAGAAGAAAAGAATAACAAAGACTACAACAATCACAATTAATAGTGCCAGCTAGCACCTACATGGTGCCAGGCATTGTTCTAAGGGCACTACATAATGAATTCATTTAATCCCCACACCATGGTATAAGGTAGGTGCTATAATTATCATCATTTTACTGGTAAGGAACATGGGTTGCAGGGAGACTTAATTAATTTGCCCAAGGTCACAGTGCCAGGAAGTGGTAGAGCTGGGATGTGAACCCAGGACATCTGGCTAAAGCACATGTGGCCCCTGAGTTCTCCTATCATTGTGATTGTTATTAGTGTTATTTGGGGTAGGGAGCCAGGGCATGGAAGGGTGACCGGCCCTGCAAGGCCCAGCACACAGCTCCCAGGCCTCCAGCAGGTTCAGTCTCATCCTGCATCTGTTGCAGCTTCAAGAGGTGGAGGCAGAGCCACCAGTTGATCCAGTAGCTTCCTGCCTGGAGCTACAGCCCTAGGCACCAATCACATGTTCCCAGGCTCTAGAGCAGCTCAAGCCTTGGGGTTCAGCCCCTGAGAGACACTTTGCTCCGGGTACCCTGAGCCCCTCCCCCTCCAGACACCCAGCAGCTGCCCTCCACAGATCTCTATAAGCCCCCACCGTCTGCTACAGACCCTGCGTTCAACCATCCAACAGCCCTTTCCAGGGCTAAATGTAAGCAGAGGCCAGTCAGTGCTGACGAATCAGGCCCTGGGATCTGATGGCCCACGGGTTCAAATCCCAGGTCCACCGCTTCCCAGCTGTGTGACTTTGGACAAGTCACTTAACCTCTCTGGGCCTCAATTTCTCCCTGTGTTAAATGGAAACAATCACCATACCTACCCTCTGAGGACTGCTATGTAAAAAACCTGGCCCATCGCCTGGAGGAGCTGTTCAACTAATGTTTGCTGTCGTGATGAATAATATTACTATTGTTTTCTGCATTACAGGAATTTCTTCTGCATGAGTACCTAAGTGATTGCCCGTTCCCCCCGCTGATCAACTGGCCCCTGAAGCTCTCCTATGACCTGATGCCTGCATTTTCATTTGCATCCCACAGGCCAGCCACGGTCCACACCAGTCGGCATGTCTGAGCAGAACAAACCACAGCCACACCAAGACGGGTCTCCGCTGGCCACCCTTTCCCCCTCCCACACACAAACCCAGGTTTGCGGGGGGGTGGGGGTGGTGGTCATACAGGTTCCCATTTCACAGATGGGAACACCAAGGCCCCGGGAGAGAGCCAGGCCCTTCACGGCGACACCTGCATCCCACCTGGTGGCCGGCACAGGGAGAGCAGGAGAAGCTGGTGTAGGGGCTCTGAGGGGCAGGTCAGGGCGTACCCGGTTCTCGTCGTAGATGATCTGCACCAGACTGCGATGCTTCGACTCGATGGGTGGTGGCGACACGGGCTTCTCGGGCTCCGGTGGCTTGGCGGCCTCCTCCTCCAGCTGTTGCTGTGGGGAGCGGGCGGGGAGAGTGGAGTGGTGAGCACGCCAGCAGGAGGAAGGAGAGACAGCGCCCCCTGCCCCTGGGCGGGAGGGCGGCACCCCTGCGCAGCGGGGCTGGTGGCCCCACACAGGAAGTCAGGCTGCTAACCATTTCCCCTGAGTCACCCGCAGGGACTCCGAGCCGCGGAGAGGCCCCAGCTCCCAAAGGGGAGGGCCCAACCAGGGCCAACTCCGGGCTCTGCAGCCAGCCTTCCTGGGTTCAAGTCCAACCTTGGTGATTTATCAGCTAGGTGAGCATCAGCGAGCAGCTTAATTAACTCCGCTGTGCCTCAGCTTCCACATCTGTAAAGTGGGGCTCGTGTCTGTGCCTCCCCGATGAGTTAAGGTATGTACTGTGCAGACTGGGGGTTCGCTGAAGGCCAGCCGTTATCCATTATTTCCACCGTCAGTACCGTCATCCTCAGGAGAGGCTGTGGAGACTCTGGACCCAAACTGTCCGGACCAGAACACTATTTCTACTATTTACTTGCTATGTAACCTTGGGAGCTTGCTAAACTCCTGAGCCTCACTTCCCTCATCTGGAAAGTGGGGATAATTAAAGTTTCTATCCTAGAGAGTTGATATGAGAATTAAACAAGCTGATGCACGCAAAGCACTCAGCACCTAAAAGGCAGCTTCTCATCATCATCGTTACCGTCATCTGCCCTGCGGTCTTCATACTGGACCCCCCCTCCTCCAAGCACCATAAAGGACTTCCCTTCATGCTGCTGTCTGCTTTATACCCAAAAGGCAAAGCAAAGACCAGAGAGCTTAAGACACTGGCCCAAGGTCACACAGGAGGCCAGTGCCCAGGCGTACAATCTGACAGGGCATCTTGAGTGAGATGAGAACACTGTTCTTTGCTCACAAGGCTCACACATCCTGCCCATGACCATGGAGCAAACCATTATGAACTCAAAAACACGGCCAAGAGGAGAGCAACGCAGAAAGAGCCAGAAGATCGTTTTGTCTTCTGCTGGCACAAAGGCCCGGAGGGTTGAGCCGAGCTGCCTCAGTCCCACAGTGACCCCTGTTGGTAGCTTTCAGAAGGGCAGCCAGCACCTGCCAAAACACTGAAATCCCTCCAAACAGCGCTAAACAAACTAAGCCAAGAAATGGAAGGCATACACAGCCAGAAAGGAGATTCTCGCCAGTCAGTGAACGTGCCCCTCCCTGAGGCACCAAACGTTAAACACAGAGTTACCACGGGACCCAGCAATTCCATCCCTAGGTACAGACCCAAAGAATTGAAAACAGGTGCTCAGAAACATGAACGCAAAAGTTCACGGCGTGGTTCACGATAGTCAAAAGGTGGAGATAACCCAAACGTCCATCAACTGATGCACGGATAAACAAACGTGGTCCATCCATCCATGCAGTGGAATATTACTTGGCAGTAAAAGGAATGAAACACTGGCACAGGCTGCAGCATGGACGAACCTTGAAAACATGATGCTGAGTGGAAGATGCCAGACACAAAATGCCACACAGTGTTTGATCCCACTTACAGAAAACGTCCAGACAAATCCATAGAGGCAGAAAGCGGATTAGCGGCTGGTGGGGACGGGAAAATGGAAGTGACTGCGACTGTGTACGGGGCCTCCTTTTGGGGTCATGAAAATGTCTTGGAACTAGAACTAGATAGAACGGGTGGTTGTACAACGCTGTGAACGGACTAAAGGCTGCTGGGTTGTCCACCTTAAGATGAGCCGTATTGTGTGAATTTTAGTTAAAAAAGAAAAATGCCAAAGTGGAATTAAAACCCAACAATCTATCGAGGGCTGCCCTGAGCCACGTGGCTTCTGGCTGCAGTCACAAACGTGTGCACATGGCCTGTGGCTTCAGCCTGGGCCCAAAGCCAGGCCCAGGGGGACTAAAGGTCCCAGCACTCCACGAGCCTTGGCAACGCCTGCCTGACTCCAACCGGGGCCCGGTCCCCCCTACATGCTGAGCTGCCATCCTGGAAACCCACCTACCACCCCCAGCTGGCCAAGCCTCACTGACCAGTCCAGCTTCTGGACCATCCTCAGGTCCCCCCAGGCGAACGACAGCCCCGAGGTCTCTTGGGATCAATGCTCCCTCCCACTGCACATCTTTCCAGTTCCACTCACATAGCCCTGAACTGGCTTCCGGGAAGCATCTCTCACCAGCCTTCCCTCTACTGCCCATGGTGGCCAGAGTGGGTCCTTGAACCTCCATGGAGCCCATACCTCCTTACCTGGCGGGGATCGGGTGTGACCCTGCTTCCCCCAGGGTCAACACATGTGCCACACTATCTCAATCCACAGTTTTTAAGAAGCACCTACTACGTGCTGGCGTTGCTAGGAGCACAGCAGGGAACAGGAGACAAGAACTCTGCTTTTACACCGTTGTCGTGAGACGACCACAGTGTCACAAAGCAAAATATGTATTAGTTCAAATGGTGACACCATCAGGCAGGATAACGGGCTGGAGCAGGGGTGGCAAACTTTTTCCGTAAAGGACCAGGAAGTAAGTATCTTAGGCTCTGTTGGCCACACAGTCTCTGTCGTGACCACCCAGCCCTGCGGCTGTATCATAAAAGCAGCCTCAGATGATGTGTAAACAAATGGACGTGGCTGTGTGCCAATAAAACTTTATTTAGAAAAACAGGCACCGAGCCGGATCTGGCTGGATTTGCTGACCCCCAGGGTAGAGGATTGCTGGGGATGAGGACTCCTGTAAAGGCTAGGGCGGGTCCCTCTGTGGAGGCGACATCTGAGCAGACACCTGAAGATGCCACAGACGGAAGCAGGAGGAGACCCAGGAAAAGGCAGATTATCAACTAACTTTCTATCAATTAATATTAAAACTAAAATTATAAAGTTAATATTATTAATCTTTACGTTAACTTTTCTTTTGGTTTCGACAGTGACAACGAGGACTTCTTTTCACCACATGACTCTGTTCGCTCCTCACAACCTTATGAGGTGGTGTCACATCTGTGCCCATCTTACAGACAAGAAACCGAGGCTCAGAGAGGTGAATGTTCCAAGGCAGAGTTAGGAGGCCCAGCTCATACAGCTTCCAGAGCCAGGGTCAGAGTCACGTGATATCTCCCCCCACATTGTGGATGAGGAAAGTGAGGCACAGAGAAGTAACTGCCCACCCCACATGTCTGGACAGCCTGGCTGTAAATGCTGACCTCCCACCCATCGTTCCTGTGCCATCCCAGTACAGTAGCCACACGTGGCCATTCAAGTGTAAATTTCATTTCAATTCAAATGAAACGACATTAAAAATTCAGTTCCTCAGCTGCACTAGGCACATTTCAAGGGCTCAACAGTCACATACGGGTAGTGGCTACCATTGTGGACAGTGCAGATCTAGAACATTTCCGTCATTGCAGAAAGCTCCCTCGGACAGCACCACACAAAACAGCTCTCTTGTCCAATAAACGTAAAGGGCATAAAAATGAGCCAGTACAATGGGCCGTGCTAGGCACACGTTCACAACTGCTATAACTCCTAGTGCTGTTACCTTCTCAGCGGAAGCCACTGCTGAATCGGGAGCTGAGAGCCGCCATCGCCCCACCCACACGCACCTGCTTCTTCTTCAGCTTGGAGATCTGCTGCTCTACCATGGTGATCTCGCGGTCCACCCGATCCATATTCTGGATCAGCTCCTCCTTGGAGAGCCGTGGAGGTACCAGCTCCAACTCAGGGTCAGCATGTGGGGGACTGGGAGGAGACACCGGCTCCAGCTTGCCTGTCAGGCTGCGGTCCTGTGATGGAGGAAGAACAGGTGTGGAATCAGCGCAGGGGGCACCCCCATCCCCCCAAAAACCACAAGTTTCCAGCCATGACTTCAGGCACCAACACACCGGGCATCTGTCGTGCCAGCCCCCGTGTGCCAAATACAGGGTTGTTTACTGATCCCACCTCTCTGTCTTTGCCTTCACTGGTCCTCCTGCCAGGTGTTCCTTCCCCAGCCTTTTCCAAAGTGCAGATCCTTTTTACCCTCCTACACGCAAGTTTCCCCAACCGTCCCTCAAGTTGTGAAGCCCTCCCTCTTTCCTTTCCCCATAACACACCTCTCTCTTACCCCACTTACCCCGTCTGTGCCCTCCCACCAGACCAAACTCCTCGAGAACCAAGACCCACGACCTCCAGACTGATGCTCCGTGAACACTGATTCACGATGCTCAGTCCAAACCAGCACGTTACAGAACATCATACACAGCGCAAACCCAGTTGTGTAGGCAATATACACAAACACAGGAAAACTATGAGAGCGGGATACAGAGATGTCAAAAGTAGTTACCGGGGCAGCGGGGGAGAAGGCGGGTATTTTCACTCTCTTCTTTTTAATTTACCAGCGTTTTTCTGATTTTCCTTCACTGAGTATTACTCTTTGTGTAATGAAGTTGCTTTCAAAAATGTGGTAAACAAACAAGGGAATCCTTCATTGAGTTATTCGGTGACTCCTTCATTCCACCGACAAAAGTTTATTGAGCATCCAAGCTGTGCTGGATGCTCAATTAAAAAAATAAAACCCAGTCCTTGTCCCGGAGCATTCACCTGTACAGCCCCGGGTTCAAATCCCCACCCACTCTGCCACCTCCCAGCATCATCACGACCACAAGCAGGTCATCTGCCTCCGTTTCCTCATCTGTACAATGGGACGAGTCCCACCTCCTGCCTGCTGTGAGGCTTGAATGAGTTAATATGTGCAGAGCGCTCAGCTCAGAGCCTGGCACACTGTCCGAGCTCCACAGGCATTGGCTGGGGTTGTCCTGCCCCCAAACCCAGCCCCGCCCTGTGCCATCCTCAAGGCCAAGCCAGCAGCTGCTGGCAGAGGAGGCCCCAGGAGGAGCTCCAGGCCGCTGCCTCCCCACCCCCAAGGCAGCTGCAGCCGGAGGACAGAGGACACATTATTCCCGGGGACAACTGCAGCCCCAGGGCTGCCAAGTGCCACCCCACCCCCCCAGCTCGAGTTGAGCAGAGCCTGTGCCATTCTAAGTCCACCCCTCCTGGCCTCGGGGTCTTGGTCCTACACACACACACACACCACCGAAGCCCACAGGGCTCCAGTGTCTGGGGATCACCCTGGCCTCATCGTTGCCATCTGAGACGTGGGAGAGCTGGCGTCGAGACTCCCAGGCCCTCCACACACCCAGAGCCCTGGGGGCAAAGGCAGAAAAGATCTCAAGCCCTTCAACAGCTCTGATGTGGCCCTGCCCCATGGCTCTGAGGTGGGCCTCCACACTCCTCGGGGACGCCTAGGAAACCGAACCAGGCACCGTCCCAGTCCTCGGCACACCCCACACCCTGGCCCCGGCTGCGGCTCTCCCAGGGGGCTGCCACTGCATCCCCATGGCGCAGATGAGGGTACGGGAACCTGCAGGCACAGGCCTGGCACGGCTCTAAGCCAGCGGTTGGCACACTTTCTGTAAAGGGCCAGGTGGAAAAACACTTCAATCTTTGTAGGTCAGGCGGCCTCTGTCCCAACTACTAACCCACACTGTAGAGGGGCTGCAGCCACAGACAGGACACGAAAGAATGGGCACGGCTAAGTGCCAATAAAACTTTATTTACAGACCCACGCCGAGGGCCAGCTTGGGGCTTGCCGAGTTTGCCAGCCTGTGCTCTTAACTCACATAACGGTCACAGCCCACCCTGGAAGTGAAAATACGGTTTTCCCCATTTTCCAGATGAGGAAACTAAGGTCCAGCGAGATTCAACGACGTGCCCGAGGTCACCAGCCACAAAGCGATGGAGCCTTGGCTCGGAGGGCACAGGACGGGAGAGACCAGGCCTCATTCAGAACTCTCCAGAAGCAGGCAGAGCATGCAACCAGGTTGCTGGGGGTCCCACAGCAGAAGCGGGGTCGCCACCATGCATTCATTCATCCCTCAGAACCATGTGTCTGGGCAGAAAAGCAAGAGTAAGATCCCTTCCAGGGTGTAAGACCCCCTGAAATTAGAGGCAAAACTGTGCACAGAAGACAGATCCCCTAGAGAAATACTCAGAAGGAGTGTGTGTGTGTGTGTGTGTGCGTGTGTGTGTGTGTGTGTGTGTGTGTGTGTGTTTGGCCCTAACTGCTCCCAGATAGGAGGGCGGAGGGCAGACACAGGGGCTGCAGGCACCTGACCCCACACACGCCAGACCAGAAGCAGGCTGCGCACCGTGGCATCTCCGGACCTTTGTACCAGCCACTCCCTCTCCTAACTGCACCTTTCTGCCACCTGAAATCAGACCCCCCCCATCCACGCCCCCTCCCCCAGCCCTTAACTGAGATCCGCCCCTTCCCTCTGTGCCCCAGGGCGCTTGGCTGGTCTCCCTCCACAGCCTCAATCATTTCTCAGGGTTCTTTTTTTTGCTGGGGGTGGCTGCGTTGGGTCTTCGTTGCAGTGCGCGGGGCTTCTCACTGCAGTGGCTTCTCGTTGCGGAGCACGGGCTCTAGGCGTGCGGGCTCAGTAGTTGTGGCTCGCGGGCTCTATAGAGCGCAGGCTCAGTAGTTGTGGCACACGGGCTCAGCTGCTCCGCGGCACGTGGGATCTTCCTGGGCCAGGGCTCGAACCTGCGTCCCCGGCATTGGCAGACATATTGTTAACCACCGTGCCACCACGTAAGTCCCATTTCTCAGGCTTCTTGAGACAAAAGGCTTTGGCGATATGGTTCCTGGAGCCCAGTCCTGCTACCTGCTGTAGGAAACCACTCTTCTGCCCACCTCTGATCTTCCACCAGGACTGAGAAGGGACGGAGAGGAGCACAGCAAGAACAAGGGCTGTGGACAGAAGGCTTTCGGGGCCAGGACACCCTGAAACAGTTCATCCAACCCAGGGATAATTCTCAAAATGACATGAGCAAAAAGAAGGTTTCCATCCCCAAACCCGACAGGAGCAGCGCAGGGGTGAGAAGAAGCAGTTGGCAACCGCTAGCAACTGTTGGAAAAGCTGCTGGAAACTTTTTCTTAAATTCTTGATGGGGAAAATCCATCTTCTTCAATGACTTCTTCCTTAAGGTTCAGGCTTAGCTTTTATTCTAAGCAAAACCACACAGGCAGATCCGTCAACTGACAGATAAAGTGTGGTCTCTCCATACAATGGAATATGATTCAGAGTGACGTACAGACGCATGGTAAAACACAGATGAACCTTAAGAACGTGATGCTGAGTGAGAGAAGCCAGACATAAAAAGCCACATATCGCATGATCCCATTGATACGAAGTGTCCAGAACAGGCAAATCCATAGAGACAGAAAACAGATCGGTGGTTGCCAGGGGCTGCGAGGAGGAAGTGACTGCTTGATGGGTACCAGGTTTACTTCTGGGGTGATGAAAATGCTCTGGAACTAGACAGAGGTGGTGCCCAACACCGTGACTATACTAAATGCCACTGAATTGTTCACTTCAAAGTGGTTAACTTCATGTTATGTGAATTTCACCTCAATCTGAATAGACGATGATGCAAGCCTGAAGGGCGAAGGGTGCTTTCTGCAGTGCTGAGTTTTCCAGGAATGGGACCAAGGGAGCCTGGCTAGCGGGCCTCCAGATGGTTCTCCCGATGGCTGCTGGCCTTCGTTTAGGCCCAAAGCCACAGGAGGAAAACAACAATCCTATACCCTCACCAGTCACCGCTAGGTAGCAGTCGGCACCATTCTCCCCATCAGACGCCCTTGGTGTAAAAATTCAGGCCAACGTGGAACAGAAAAACCCATTATGTAAAATTACAGACACAGAGGCAGCAACAGCCTTGGGGGCTGGAGAGGACCCACTGGGGCTCCCCCTGTCTCAGACCCAGGAAAGGGCAGGGCCAGCCTCAGGCACCCACAGTCCTCTCCCCCAGTCACAATGATGGGTTCCAGGACAGGCCTGGGCCTCAGTCAAAGGCAGGGAGATAAACAGCTTTGTCCTGGAAATGTGGAGACAGAGGGAAAGTTCTTTTTTTTGGCCTTGAATGTGGGAAGAAGAAGGCCTGGACACTCAAACTTTCTCCTTGTTAATACACCAAGACCACGTGCAAGATGGCAGGGCCAAGAAATGGACAGAGATAGAGACCTGGTAACGTGTCACCTGGATCAAGCTGTGCCTGAAGCCAACACCCCCTCGATTTCAGTTATATGAGCCAGGACTCCGGCCTAAACCAGTTTGACATGGGTTTTCTGTCCCTTTCAGCCAACGGGGCCCCAACAGACAAAGAGATTTTCAGAAATGGTGCTGTCTGTGACGATTCTAAAGTCCCAGAACAAAGTTTGGTGAATTCCAAAGGAAGCCTCTGTTGCCACAGGACTCCAGAGGCTGAAGGCCACGGAAGCATTATAAAACAGGACATTTTTATATTTCATATTTTTATATGAAAAAGGAACACAGCCGGGGCCGGTGGGGAGGGAGGTGCTGTTAAAAAAAAAAAAAAAAAAAAAAACCATCAAATTCCCGTCTCACGTACCCAGCTGAATCCTACACAGCAGATGCAAAAAACATCTGAACTCCCTCAGAGTTGTGTTTCTCCCCTGGCTTCTTCCCTTGCCCAAAATTTGCTCATACTTTCCAAATGTTCTTAACAGCCTGGAGCAATTACCGTAGTTGGTCCAGCCAGGCCCCTACACTGGGCCCATCACTCCCCCACATCCATGGGGTCCAGGAAGAGAAGAGAGAGAAAGACAGACACAGAGACAGAGATAGAGAGAAAGAGAAATACGGAGACAGACAGACATAGACACACACACACGCCCCAGGCAGAGAAAGACAGAGACACGGGGACAGAGAGACAGAGACAAACAGAGACAGAAGCGAAGACTGAGAAAGACCCACAGAGGGAGAGGAAGCATCCCCAGGGAGCCCTAAGAAGAAGGACAAGCACAGAGCCACTGTCAGGCCTGGAGACCCTCAGATGGACCCACAGGTCTGAGGACTCAGAGCCCAGTTCTGGAGAGATGCGCGGCAGGCAGCAGAGGCCCAACAGGGCTGTCCAGAGACACCCGTCAGCCTGTTCTCTGGGCAGAACCAGACATGAGCACAGGGATATGGCCCACTCGGGGCTCTGGTCCCTCGTGGGGGGTGGACATCAAGCATCCCTGGTGTGGCCCTGTGCCCCCCTTCATATGCACCCCACTCCCCTACTGCCCAAGACCCACTTCAGGGAATAGCTTTTCCAATGGCAACATCCCTCCCAGGAGGCTGAGCAGTGATGGAATCTATGAGGAGTAGGCTAACGCAGGGATGGCAGAATGGCAGGCACGGGGGACCAGAGGGGAAGCCCAAGGCGGGACAGCCCAGTGGGCAGGTCTGGGCTACAGACCCGGGCTGCCTGGGCTTCAGGGCCCACTCCCCACTTCCCAGTGACCTGGGTGAGTGGCTCTCTTAGGCTGGGGCCCCGCCTATAAAAGGTGATTGCAGGCCGGGCTTCATCAGGCTGGAAAGGCACACTGGAAGGACACTCACGCTCAGCACAGTGGCCGGCACACAGTCAGGGCCTCCATGCTAGCTTGTCATCATCATCGTGACCGCCCCGGGAAACCCCTTTCCTGTCAGCCCCCCGATAAAGAACTGGCCTCAGCCTGAAATCCCACCAATCCAGTGTCGGGCAGAGAAGAGGATCCAGCAGGTCCAAGTGGACCACTTCCCTCCCCTGTCCTGGCTCCCAGGCCCCACCCACCCCCACTGGTGCTGCAGTGAGATGAGCACTGACCTCACCCAGCAGCTGGGCGGCCGTTAATGAGCTAATGTGCGTCCTCATGGTCATGAAGGAGCGTAAACGCACTGCTCAGCACGTGCGGAAAGGACATCCATCACGCAGCCGGCCAAGGATGAGCATATCATCCGGCCACAGTCCCTGCCCCACCCTAGGCAGTGACAGTGAAATGACAGCCTCTGAGGCAGCTGGGGGACCCCAGGGGACAGAAGCATCTGGGCCACTGGCTGTGATTCCTCCGTTTAGATAGAGAGCAAATGAGCTTCTAGCGTGGACGGTCCTGAGGTTCACTGAAACAGCAGAAAAACCTCTCTCAGCAGCAAACCATGAGCGCTTAATCTGTGCACATTCTCCCCCTCCATCTCAGCTCGACTTTCTGCTTAAAGAAGAGTAAAATGCAGGCGCCCTCCAGGGCACAGTGGTCCCCACGGGCTGGACACACTCCGGCAGCTGCAGGGGGCAGTGGGGGAAGCTGTCCCTTTCCAGCCAAGAAATGGCCCATGGAGCCAAGCTCGTCCCTGGACCCTCCTCTGGCTGCCCAGCCTCTGCACGCCCCGGGCTCAGCCCTTCTCCCAGCCTTCGCCCAAGCCATCCCCCCAGCCCAGCACGCCTACCCCCTCCCTTGTTCCCCGCCCAATCGCAGCAGCACCCAAACCCTCAGAGGAGCTCCCGGCTGAGGCCAGGCCTTACCTTGGACAGGTCCTCGGAGCCCCCTGGCTGGCCAGCGGCCAACAGGGGCGAGGGCCGCAGCAGGGGGTCAGGCAGCAGCTCCAGGCGAGGGCGCTTGCTCTCCAGGAATTCCATCTCCGACTTGCCCAGCTCAGGCAGGTATGAGTGCGACTCGGGTCGCAGGTGAAGTTCCTGGGACCTGTGGGGGGCAAGGGCACACGGCATCACGTCTGCTGCCCGTCCTGCGGGAGGAGTGCCCATCTGCTCAAGGGCACACAGAGAGGCAGGACTCAAATACAGCTCTGTCTTCCTCCGAGTCAGCATTCACTAACTATGTTTACAGCAAGAGAATGTACTGGTGATGGATTCCCTGCTCCCTCACTGAGTGTGGCCCCCCCAGACCAGCAGCCTCAGCCCCTCCTGAGGCTGGTTACAAATGCAGAATCTTGAATGCCACCCCAGACCTATTGAATCCGACTCTGCATTGAAACAAGATCCCTGGTGATTCACGGGGAAAGTCTGAAAAACACTGTGGGTCTAACACAGACAATAACACACGTGATGCTGTTTGCAAATCACTCACCCAAAGCAGACATCACTAGCTGATCACAGCACTCTGGCTGCTCAACCTGGCCTTGCCTCCTTTTCAAGTCAGCCCAGCAGCCTTATGCAGAGATAGGAGCTGTCCAGCCTAATCACTCCCAACTAACTCTCCTTAACCCTCCTCCCCAGTTTGCAGAGGAGGAAACTGGCCCAGAGAGGCCATGGCCTTGCCTGGGCACACACAGCTGAGCCACGACTCCCAGCCTCCACCTCTAGCTCCTGCCCAAATACTGCCCCTGCTGAAATGCTTTTCCAGTTGATGTTTTTTGCCCAATAAACTTAGAATAGAATCCAAACGCATTCCCCCCCACCCTCAGGCCCTGCCTGGTCTGGCCCTTGTTCACCCTGCCCACTGCATTCCTGCCTCAGGGGCTGTGCACTGGCTAGGCTGGAACACTTCCACACCAGCTCCTTCCATGCTGCCTCTCCTCCTTCCTGTCCCAGTGCATGGGGCGTCTCCTCCTAACAGCAGTCTCCCTGCCCACCAGATATACCCCATCTCACCCCATCTCGTTTTCTCTGTCTTTGTTTGCAGCCATCACCATTTGCTTGTTGGTTCACGCATGTTTGGTGGCTGCCTCCCCCGTCCCAGAGTGTCTGCTCCACAAGGGCAGGGACATTCATCTGTCTAGTGCCTGACATACAGCAGGCGTTCAATCAGTGCGCGTAGGCTGAATGAATGTTACTGACTGCAATGTGGGCTGAGGCTATGCTGCTGTCCTCTCCTCCCTGGGGGGCCCGTCTCTCGCCAAAGCCAGGTCACAAGATGCCCCTCCTGCCCACCTGAGAACCAACAGCTTCACAATTACAAGATGCCCTGCAGGAAGCAGGTGGCATCCACATTGAAACATGGAAAGGGCACCATAATAGGTTAGTGTCCCCCCCAGAATTCATGTCATCTCAGAACATCAGAATGTGACCTTCTTTGGAGGTAGGGTCTTTGCAGACGTAATTCACTGAGATGAGGTCATACTGGATTAAGTTGGGACCTAGACTCGATGACAAGTGTCCCCCTAAGAAGGGCCGAGGACACAGACGCAGAGGGGGGCGGAGACTGGGGTAATGCAGCAGCAGGCCAAGGAACACCTTGGGCCTCCAGAATGTGGCAGAGGCCGGGAACAGGTCCTCTCCTAGAGCCTTCGGAGGGGGTGCGGCCCTGCTGGCATCTGGGTTTCAGACTTCTGTCCCCCAGAAACTGGGAGAGAACACGTTTCTGCTGTTTTAAACCACCCGGTGCCGAGGGACTGAAGCCATGGCCCGCGGCAGTGGCCTCCCCGCGGGGCCCTGGATGCCTCCATGCAGTTGTAGCAGCACAGAAGGCCCAGGCCAGCTCTCCGGAACTCTGGTCCCACCTAGGCCATCCCTCAACCTCGCAGCCTCAGCAAGGTGACGAAGGAAGAGACGATGGGACAGGGCCCCTGGGCCAGCCCAGCCTCAGCGGTCCCTGCTTGCCCCTAGAATCACTGCACATGGCCAGAAGGATCTGAGGGTGGAAGTTATATCCTGGCCCTCCAAAGCTCCAAACCCTCCCACAGTCCCCTCGAAGTTCACCCTCCTGGCCCCCAGCCACCTGGCTCAGCCCAGCCACCCGGCCTCCTCGCCTTTCTGGAACACTCCAAGCACATGCCCACCTCCAGGCCTTTGCACGTGTTGCTCCCTCCACCTGGAAGGTCTTCACCTGGCTCTCTGAGCGGCTGGCTACTTAGTGGCCAAGCATCTGTCCCCTGAGAGGCCTTTCGCGGCCTCTCCAGCCAAAGAGTAGCCCTTCCCTGCCCTGCAGGAAACAGGTCACCTGCCTCGTTCTGGAGTCACCTTGTGTGTTTGTTGCAACTCCCCTGCTAGACTGTGGGCTTCCTGCAGGCAGGGCTGCCTGTCTAAGTGTCCGCTGGCAGCCCGCAGCCTACAGTAGGCCATCACATGTTAGAAGCTTAGGACTCTCGGGAGTTCCCTGGTGGCCTAGTGGTTAGGATTCCAGGCTTTCAGTGCCGTGGCCTGGGTTCAGTCCCTGGTCGGGGAACTGAGATCCCACAAGCCACGTGGTGTGACAAAAAGAAGCAGTAGACCACCTAGAGGGGTGGGATAGGGAGGGTGGGAGGCAGGGAGACGCAAGAGGGAGGAGATAAGGGAACATATGTATATGTATAACTGACTCACTTTGTTATAAAGCAGAAACTAACACAGCATTGTAAAGCAATTATACCCCAATAAAGATGCTAAAAAAATGTATAGACTTAATTTTGTCACAAAGAAGTATGATAGTGTGATCAATAAAAGATTTTCAAGCATAAAAAAAAAGAAGTAGGGGCTTCCCCGGTGGCACAGTGGTTGAGAGCCCGCCGGCCGATGCAGGGGACATGGGTTCGTGTCCCGGTCCGGGAAGATCCCACATGCCGTGGAGCGGCTGGGCCCGTGAGCCGTGGCCGCTGAGCCTGCGCTCCACAACGGGAGAGGCCACAACAGCGAGAGGCCTGCGTACCGAAAAAAAAAAAAAGAAGCAGCAGCAGCTCACGACTCTTAGCAATTAGAGCTGTTACTGTCTCAGGCATCTTGGGGCCCCACTCTGGCCTTGGCCCTCCCCTCACTGGGTCCCCACCCGTATGGCTTGCTCTCTCCCACCTGGATTTAAGGAAGACAAGGCAGGCCCACAGGCCCAGTCTGCCAGCTGAGGGATGGCAGAGGACTCGGAGAAAAGGGGATGACAAAGGGATGGGAGGAAGGGGGCTCCCCATGTGCACCCAGCTGTGGACAGTCACTCCCAACCAGCAACCCAGCCTCCCCTACTTTTTGGTGGTCACCCCCTCCTGCCTGGGCCACACAGCCAGAGGCCACTGCAGGCTCACAGCGGGAAGTCCAAGGGCCACGTGGCTCTTCCCTGCCCATCCCCAGCCCTGTCCCAGTCACAGCCGCACCAGGACAAGGGCACAGCCTGACACCCCTTTGTTTAACACCGACCCTGCGAGCTCTTCATGAGCACAGGCCTCCACTTCCCCGTCTGAGCAATGGACGCACAAACCCCTCCTCACCTTTCATTCCCGGGCTGAAATTCGGACAGCAGGGAGGGCCTCCTCCGCTGGGGCTGGATGATGGAGCCAGGCGACAGGTGTGAGGTGTAGTCACGGGGGTGGTGCTGGTACTCAAGCAGCCCGACGTCCTACAGCAGAGGACACAGACCAGTGAGCACCCATCCCGCCACAGTGCAGCCCACACGGCGAGGCAGGGCCAGAGCCCCCTGCCCGGTGCCGCTTCTGCACCCGCGGACCCTCCCACGTCCTTTCCCGGCCCTCCGACCCAGTCCAGCCAGAGGACATTCCTGGGGCCAACCGCCAAGGAGAAGTGACACATTCAGCTAAAGGACACCTGGTCCTGCCCTCTTTCCAGATGAGACAACCGAGCCCACGTGTTAGCAGAGACAAATGGAAAAGGGCACAACCTGCACGTCTGCCATGGGTGCAAGTGACACAGCAAGACACGGGCATCCACGCCAGGGGACAGTGGATGACACGGCAAATGCTGACGGTCTGCAAGGCTCAAAGACCAGATTCCAAAACAAAGCCCCGACGTGGGAGTCCCCCGTGTTACAGAGGGAAAACCTACACACGTGTGTCACACAGGCAAGCATAGCTCAAAGTCAGAAGGATAAACTCCAGGCAAAACATGCCTTCTTCAGTAATATGCCATCCATTACCCGTTGCCATCTGTGGAAAAACTAAACACTAACAAATTCGATGTACCCCGATTAGCAACTACACCCTGATTTGAGACACGTTAAAATGTTTTTTTAAAAAAAAGAAAGATAGAAAAGAGAAAGCTTTCAAAGGGGAAAACAGGACAGGCTTCCTATGTGTACCAATCCAAATCGATTAGTTGTGCCTGCAGAGAACACCCAGTTATACTGTGGGGTGGCAATCAATTAGTGATGTCTGACACGAGTAAGGCTTGGGAAAGCGTGGGATTGTAGGTGATTTGTTTTCTTCCTGGCACCCTTCTTAATTCTCCCAATTTTCCAAAAAAAATCTAGTCATTCTTTTGCTGTCTGGCTTTTTTTTTTTTTTAAAAGCAGTTATTTCTGCAAAGAGAATTAGATGATACCACGTAGGTGTGTTGGAAATGTATGTGTTTCAGACCCTCCAAAACAAACACATGTAAGAGGCTGGGAGGCGAGAGAGGATGAGTAACTAGAATCAAGAGGGATCCCGTCAACCTCAGAGGCTGGAAATGAGGGAAGGGCCTTCCTGGGCAGCCCAATGTGGAAGCAAGAAGCTGCACGGCCTCGGGCTAGAGGTATCTGTCCATCCCTTAAACTCTCTGAGCCTCAGTTTCTTCATCAGTGGAATGGATGCCTGAATTCCCTGGCGGTCTAGTGGTTGGGACTCCGCGCTTCCACTGCAGGGGGCACGGGTTCAATCCCTGGTCGGGGAACTAAGATCCCGCCTGCCGCGCGGCACGCCCAAAAAAAAAAAGAAAGAAAGAAAACTGAAATGAATGCCTGACCCAGATGGAAGGTGGCCTCTGTGTCTCCAACCAAGCGTCCCCCTTAACTCTCCAAGGGTTTCCCTGAAGACTGAGGGCAGCTTCCAGAAGACAGAGGACTCAGCCTCCCCCCTCCACCGCACTCCACGATGTCATGCACAAGGCACCGGGTGCTAATGAAGGAACAAGAAGAAAGGGCTGGAGGGAGGGGGCGGCAGCTTCTGGGATCATGCCGGCGCGGCTGCCAGGCACAGATCCGGTGTGCACACGCACGCAGAGGTGTGAGAAGAAATCGGCAAGCACTGCAGAATGCTGGGAGGAAAATTCCCTCTCACACAAAAGCAAAATGAACAAAGCAGCAGAGAGGCAGACGGTCCAATCCCTTGGGAGAGGGCCCCGGCAGGACGGCGCCTACCACTGCCAACAGAGGCGGGAAAAGGCACACGGCCCCCGGGGCTCCCGAGGCAGAGGCATGGGGCGGCCACTGCATGAACACTTCTGGCCTCAGTTTCTCAGTCTGGGAAGCAAGCAGGATGACCTCATTAGCACGGTCCCTCCAAGGACCATCTTGGGGGCCATTTCTGTGGTATCCACACTGATCTCCACCCCAGGGCTCTGAGTCCAGGGACCACCAAGGGTGCCTGCATCTCTACAGGAAGGCAAGAACTGGGGAGACCCCAAGAGAGACCGAAGGTGGGGCTCACTGTGGTCACAGGAGCCTGAAGACACCAGGCACTCAGGCTAGAAACCTCCAGCCACGTCTCAGAACACGAGAACCCTCCCCATGTTAACAAAACATTCCAACCCCACCTGCTGCCCTCACACATGTACGTGGCCCAAGCAGGCTCCTGCGTCCGTGACCCTTGGCCTGGGGGGAGCGCTGAAGACGAGAGGATTCAGATCCTACTTGAGAGCTTGTTGACGGGACCGCGGCATCTGAGCGCACGGCCAACACAGTCCTGCTGGCCTGGGCCTAGACCCATCCCCGTGCCCGCAAACTGCGTCACGTGCGGAAGGACCATGTATCCATTTGTGACAAACTGGAAATGAAACAGACTGGTCCTTCCCACAGGGAGCCTGATAAGCACTGATCTAGGGCAGGAGTCAGCAAACGGGGCCGAAGGCCAAAGCCAGGCTCGGCCTGTTTCGTCAGGTGTCACTGGCACACGGCCATGGCCATTCCTGTACGTGTTGGCTGAGCTGCTTTCACGCTAGGATGGCAACAGTGCAGGAGTAGTTGTGACCGAGACCGAGTGGCCGGAAAAGCCTGAAATATTTACAGAGAAGGTTTGCCAGTCCCTCCTCTAGAGGAAAAGCCCACAGTGTACCCTGGGGGCCATTCGCAAAAGGATACTAGTGGGCACGTTGTCGTCATGACAGCAGCAGCATCAAAGTCATCAACACTGCACTGTATCAGTCGCGCTTACTCGGCCCGGGCGTTGTGCAGAGGCCTCTGCACATTCAACTAACTTGATCCTCAGGGTCTTATAACTACCGTCGCTCAACTGATGGGGAAACTGAGCAACAGGGCGGTAAGACCACTCGTCCAAAGTTTCACAGCTAGGAAGTCACTGAGGCAGGACATGAATGCCAGCGGTCTGGCTCCAGAGTCTGTGCTCTGAAAAGCCCTTCTAACACTAAGGCACAGAGAGGCTAAGTAACTTGCCTAAGGCCACACAGCAGGCAGGAGTGGCGCTGGGATCGACTCCCGTGTCTTTGGACTTTATTTAACACATTCATTTAGCGCAAAGCTTGCAGGAACTCGAGAGAGCTCAGGGGGTCCCGCGGGGCTTGGGAGAGAAGGCGGAATCGAGCTGGGCTCTAGAAAGCTGGAAAGGAGACAAGGAGGGGAGGATGTGTTGGGACCCTCAATCCTGGGAGACCCTCAGTGCCAGGAGCCCGCCAGGACCCTCAGGGAAAGATGTGGGGTCCTGATACTGTGGGCGAGGGAAGCCGAGACCACAGAGAAGGAGAGAACAGGGCTCAGAGAGGCTCTGAGGGTGGAGCAGGTGGGATTGAACGAGCCATGCGTACCGGCACCATGAAGAGAGGCTCGGAGTGTGCCTGAGGCTGGGTCAGGGTAAGCACACCTGGAATTAAGCCCTCCATCTGCGCCAGCGTAACACCCCAGGCAGCCTGGACATGACGCAGGCTGAGGCACAGGCCGGCAGAGAAGGCGGCTCCCACCGCCCCTCTCAGAGTGCAGAGCCTCTTTGGTCTCCTGCCACCCCGCCAGGAGGAAAGAGGCGGCTGCCACGTACAGACACCGCCCCGGGCACCTCGCAAACACCTGCCAGTGATGCTTAAGCCCACAACACCCATATTGCAGATGGGAAAACTGGGGCTGCCCCCACGGGGTTAAGTGAGCAGCCAAATGTCACTCGGTGAGTTGGGAGGAACGGGGATTCAAAGCCACATCTGGAGGTTCTTCTGGGCTCTGGGCGGGGGGGACTCACCATCAAAGCAGCCCCATGCCCAGACACCCTGGAAGAAGCCTCCAGGGCCAGGAGGTGCCACCCTGGATGGAAGCCTGTTGGGAGCAGGTACGGGAGTGAGCTGAGTCCCAGGAAGGTCACAGGTCACGGGGTCCAGGCCCCGCCCCCTCAGCCCAGCAGACCTGCCTCAACTACTGTACAAGGAGCTGGGACCCCTGGGTTCCCACCTGGCCCTTGGATGGGGCATTTGCCTTCCACGCCTTTTTCCCTTTTCCTCCGCCCTCTGTCTTCCAAAAACCCTCTGCCCCCCAAAATGGGGGCATCTCACAAACACTGCCTGTACAGTGGGCTGGCGGTAAGGGGTTAGCGGGCACAGGGCTGCAGGGGGACCTCCAGATTACAGTCCCAACACTCACCTCCCACCAGCCAAAGAAAAGTGGCTCCAGCCCCGGACACATGCCCAGGAGAGCAAGAACCCCCCCCCCGCCCCAGGATGCCTAGAATTCTTGTTCCTGCCTTTCCAGTAACAACCAGGGGCCCCCAGCTGGGTCGCCCAAGCACGAGGCAGGGTGATCAGGAAGTGGGGCCCCACTGCTGCCACCACACAGGATAAGGATGCCCTGCCTCGTAGCTACCCAGGGCCCCTGCCCACCCCCGGCGTCAGCCTCCTGCCTGGAGGAAGTGACCACTGGGTCCTACCCGGCCGCATCCTGTGTCACTGATGGCCCAGCGGGAGAAGTGCGGGCGGTGTCTGAGATCAGCTGCTGACTCCAAGTGACTGCGAGAGGGCCCGGCTGGGGCACAGGATGGGGGGCTGCAGGATGGCAGGGGCCATAGGGACTCAAGGACTGACCGAGTCTGGGCCCTTGGGGGGGAGTGGGAGAGGGGCAGGAATCTGGCAGGAGGGGACGAGAAAGAAGAGAAACCAGAGGCAACCGCCAGGAGCCCCCAGGGGAGGCAGCCCCTCCAAGCAGCTGTAGTGACAGTGACAGTATTGCAAGTGGACACAGCTGGCTGAGTGTCTGCCAGGCACTGTCATAAGGACCTTCCGCAGATCATCACGGTTAATCCCCAGGAGAATCTAGGAGTCAGATGCTCTCGTTACTCCATTTTATGGATGAACAACCGAGGCTCAGAATCATTAAGCGACTTGTCCTGTTTCCTCACCTGCAAAATGTTCCCCATCTACAAAGTGCAGAGCATACGCGTACCCTCACTTCAGTGATGAAGAGAAGCGAGTGCAACTGTATACATAAAGGGCATAAACAAAATGCTCACCCTGTAGTAAGCACTCCGACGACAAAGCTTACTTTTGTTATCGTGATTATGATAAAGGTGATGACCACACTTGATAGTAAAGGACCCCCAGGAGCACAGTCCTCGGCCCTGGGTACACAGTAGGTGACCAGTAAATAGTCATCCATCTCACAGGGGCTCAGGGTCCTGAAGCTGAAGCCGACTGCCTTCTCACGGTGATTTAACCCGAGGCCTATCATTTAACCTCCCAGCGTCTCCTCATCTTCAAAATGGGACGATAATGCAAGGTGCTCTTTCATCGGGTTGCTTGTGAGGATTCGACGACCCCATCCAGAATGTGCCCGTTTATCACAGCTGGCTCTCAAAAGCATCTTGGGGGCCCAAATCCTCAAGAGGTCACTGTTCTTGGGACACCCTCAGGCTGGTCCACTGGGCTCATATGCTGAAACATCTCGCTCATGGAAGATAGAAAAGCCCTCCCATGCCACCTTCCTCTCTGCATCTTAGGAGGGACCACACCAGCCAAGCAGGACAGATACAGGCGTGTTCACATAGGGGCCGGCACAGCAAGCTCTGACCCCAGCTGCAACTGCAAAGCCTCACAGTCCCTCACCAAGCAGCCAGGAGGCCAAACGGGGGAGGCCCAGGACCCTGAGAGCCCTCTGGCAAGCCCCTGAGGATACAGAACATAACCAAGCCTCATCCTCAGGGCCACAGGCAACTAGAGATAAAGTCAGGAAAGGGGGCCCCCACTAGGAGGTGGACAGAGTGGGGTGCAGCTCGGAAGAGCTGACCAATGGTACTTCCCTGGCAGTCCAATGTTTAAGACTCTATCCTTCCACTGCAGGGGGCACGGGTTCGATCCCTGGTCAGGGAACGAAGATCTCACAGGCCATGCGGCGCAGCAAAACATTTTTTTTTAAAAAGGAAGAGCTGACCAAGGGCACGCCCGCTCCCTCCCCAGCAGGCCACCCCCCCGCCACTCACACGACGATGGGGAGAAATAGGAACCCAGGGACAAGAGAAGGCCCCAAAGGTGACCCCAGGTGCACATTTGTGCCGCTTACCGTGTGTGGCCGGGCGATCTGCACGGGGTAGGAAACGCCGTGGGGCGGGTAACGGGGCTCGGTGGCCCTCCACGTCTGTGCCACGGGCTGCGTGGACCCCGACATGGTGGTGGGCGTCCAGGGGGGCTCGTGGGCCCCTGTAAGCTCCCTCTCAATGGTCTCCAAGGATTATAAGCCAGTCTTCGTCATCTGCTCGAGGGCCACCCTGTCCCAGGCACCTGTGAGACCAGAAAAGCAAAAGCGAGATCAGTCCCAGGGCGGCTGCTCCTTGCAGACCCTGGCGGGGCCCCAAGTCCTTCCTGTGGCCCCTGTGAGGAAGAGAGAGCAGACAGGGGTCCTCCGGGACCCTCCTCCATGCCACTGGCAAGCTCCGTGCCCACTGACAGCAGTGGGAGACGCCACGTGGTGTCTGAGGCCTCTCCAAGCCACAGGCCGGCGGCTGCGGCACAAGCCACATCGGTGACAGCCGTGTCCTCCCCCGCTGCCAAGGCCCTCGCTCAGCAGGCACGGGAGCTCTAACTAGGCGGGCACTGCCCCCACGACACCCCCCATGGCTCCCAAGCACCCTCAGCCCACCCAACCCCACCCCAAGTCCTCTGCCAGTTTGAGTCACCAGGGCAAGGTTCCCCGAAAGCACCTGGCAGCTCAGGCAGGCGACTGCTGTCCCAGGAGGGGAAAAGTCCGTACACCCGTCCAGGGTGATGGTGGTGAACGGGGTCGGCTCGGGCAGAACACAGGTCACAGTGTAACCCCAGGCAAGGTCGGGCCTGCCTGGGCCTCCCAGTGACCCTCTGGGAGGGTGAGTGACACTACGATGGGGGAGCAGGACAGAAGTGAGGTTGGCCCGGACGTGAACTGAGAGCGAAGCGACTGGGAGCCCGAGGACCACACTGGGGAAACAGCCGAGGACACGGATGAGAGCCGGCTGGGCCCCCTGTGGCTCCCGGAGGGGCAGGCAAAGGATGCTGTCCACGGGGAAGAAAGCACTCATGTGTCCATGATGGAAGGAATCCACTGGCTTTACAGATGGGGAAACTGAGGCCCAGGAAGAAGAAAGGACTCAAGTCAAGAGAGCAAGAGAGCCCCTGGTCAGAAGGGGCCTTTGCCCAGAAATCTCCGGGGGGCCCCAACCTCCCCAGGACCCTTCTCTCCCTTCTCCACCAGCCACTGCTCCATGCAGCCTGCCCAAGGTTATAACTGGCTCCGCCGCCCAGGCCCGGGCTGAAAGCCGGGCAGGTCTCAGGCCTCCTCCACACTCAGCCACTCAGAAAAGGGGTGTCCATCAGGCCCCTGCCATGTGCAAACCCCCCACTCACACCCGCCACCCAGGAGCTAAGGAGAAGCCAAGATGGCGCAGGGGCCCGGCACCTGGATGCCCCCATGTTATGTACCCTCTCGGGCTGGGGTTGCATCTCGTGTGTACCCCCAGCTCCCTGTACCTTCATCACAACACCCCTCATTGCCCTGCCCTCCACTGACAACTGTCTTTCAAGGGCGTGGACGCCCTAACCCTCTGCCCTTTGGAGGCCTGATGTGGAGGGATATTTGGGGGAAGATTGAGATCATGGTGGTCAAAGGAAGAACAAGACCCCCTTCCCTCCCACCTGGGGGCCATGACTGCATCCCACTTCCCACCCCCATCTCCTGCTACAGTAGACTCGACTTTTTTTTTTAGCAACCATCTTCCCTCCCCAGACTCCAGGAGTGATCATGTGATCTGAGCCTGGCCAATCAGATTCCTGCTTCCCCTGGGCCAGCGATTGGTTCAGGGATGGGCATCTGACCCAATCTGAGCCAATGAGAGTCAGTCTTGAGACTCTGAAAAGGAACCAGAAACAGGCACTCTCCACTGGGGCTGTAAGCCAGGAGCATGAAAGCCTGGAGCTCTCGGGGGCCACCACTTGGCAGGGACCTACCCGAGACCATACCCCCAGGAAGGCAGATCTGAAGGGTAGAGAGAGCACAGCTGGGTCCTGATACAGCCATGCCTGAAGGCAGATCAAAGCTGCTTCTTCATTTAGGGAAGCCAAGGCACTCCTTCTGTGTGTTTTGCCTTTGCCAGCCCAACCCAGCTGTCTGTCACTTGCCATCAAATGTTCTGACTCACCCAGAGAAGGAGGGAGTCACAAAGGAGGCAACCTTTCCATCGGGTGCTGTCAATCCTTCCAACACTGCAAAGCCAAAGAATTCCAGAGCCCAAACTGCCACACCTATGACCACCTCAGGAAAAAAGCCCACGTGGACTTTTCCCAGACACCGCGACAGGGTGCACTGTGTAACTCTTATGAACGTGGGAACAGTCCTGCTCAGCAAATGGGAGCTACTATTACTACAGTCACTAGTTCTGTCACTGCAGTAGCTGCAGCCCGGTCACAGCGATGTTGTGGACATGGAAGGGAGGCAGAGCTGCCCCCACCAGTCCCCACCAAGAGCAACGCGGCAGCCCTCCGGCAGCCCAGAGACAAGAGACTGGCCTTGGGAGAGGGGTCAGTTGTGGCCACCAGTGCTGGACCCTGTCCCAGAATTCCCTGTGTCCCAGCTCATCACAAAGCCCAGCAGACCCTGGTGGTCTGATGCAGCAAAGCCAGTTCTATTCTGGCCTCTCTCTGGGTTTTTTTTTGGTTTTTTTTGTTTTTGTTTGCGATACGCGGGCCTCTCACTGTTGTGGCCTCTCCCGTTGCAAAGCACAGGCTCCAGACGTGCAGGCTCAGCGGCCGTGGCTCACGGGCCCAGCCGCTCCGCGGCATGTGGGATCTTCCCGGACCGGGGCACGAACCCGTGTCCCCTGCATCGGCAGGCGGACTCTCAACCACTGCGCCACCAGGGAAGCCCTCTCTCTGGGTTTTAAACGGTTGCCCGCTCTCTGCAAGAGGAAGAGAGCAGCACCTGGGCAGAGAGAAGCCCAATCTGCTTGCCTTTCCAAGGGCACCACACGCAGCTTCCAAGCTGCTACGTGACTTCGCATTGCATGAGGCGGTGAGAAGTCTAATTTACCAGTAGATTTCTAACCTCCTTTGCCTAATGAAAGGCCGACTGAGGGATGGCAGCCCCGGAAAGATGCTCACGGCGTGCACTGCACGTGGGCTCCAGAAGCCAGGGAAGTGACACCTTTTCAAAGCAGCCCTGGAGAATCCTTGGCCACTTCCCCACCCTCCTCGTGCCAAGGCCTGGCTTCCCACGACCTCAATGTTCACAGAGTGTCCACCGCCGAGCTCGGGGTTCATGCCCCCACCACCCACCTGTCAGAGGATCACTCCGCCAGCTCCATGGCCCAGCATCCCCATGTGCAGGTTGTCCCTGAAGCCAGGGGACTCTGGGGATCTTGCACCTCCTGCATTCACCACGAGCTTATTTTAATAAGCTCCATTTCTATCTCCCCCAACCTTAGCCATATTTTTTGCCAACTTGAAAAAAAAATTATTTTTAGGAAAATAGTTTGACAGTTCCTAAAAATGTTAAACATAGAATTACCGTAGGACCCAGCAATTCCACTCCTAGGCATATACCCAAAAGAATGGAAAACAGAGACTGAAACAAATCAAGGTATTCACAGCAGCAGTATTCACTATAGCCAAAGGTGGAAACAACCCAAGTGCCCATCAACCAATGAGTGGAGAAATAAACAGAACGTGGTCTATCTGTACAACGGAATATGATTCAGCTATAAAAAAGAACCAAGCACTGACACATGTCACAACGTGGATGAACCTTGCACACATGATGCTAAGTGAAAGAAGCCAGACACGAAAGGACAGATACCATATGATTCCACTTATAGGAAATGTCCAGAACGATAAATCCACAGAGACAGAAAGCAGACTGGTGGTTGCCAAGGGCGGGGGGTGGGATGGAGGGGTGTGGAGCGACTCATGGGTATGGGGGTTACCATGCAATGACGGAAATGTTTCGAAACTAGGTAAAAGTGGTGTTTGCGTAACACTGTGAACGGCGGGGCAGGGGTGGGGATTAAGCTTTGACCTTATCAGCAACATTTGGAGGTGCGCGCCAGGAAAAAATATGACATTACTTCACCAAAGACAAGGGTAGGAGAGGATGAGAGCAATCCATGGGGCAACGTTGGGTCTCCTGGATCTGGTCTTGGCTGAAAAGGGTTCTGAGAAATGGATGCAGGTTAGAGCAGGAATGCGATACAGGGGCCCCAATATCACTGCAGGGTCTGGGAGCTTTGGGGTCAGGAGAGGGTGGTGGACATCCGTTGATCTCCAGACCCTTTGGGCTCCCCACTGTGAGCTGAGCTCCAGGCTAGTGAATGAGGCAGGGTCCAGGCCACAGAGGGTCTCGGTGCCCCGGCGGAGTGCAGACAAGCAGCAAATAGTGACTTCTGAGAGCAGGCTGGGGGCTCTGGAGGCCTTGGGGAGGGCGAGGGGGTGGCAGAGAGAACTTTCTGGAGCGTGAACAAGACACAGCCCGGGGAGGGGGAAGTGGAGGGGGCTCCAGGCAGAGGCCACCACCTGAGCAAGACCCCGGAGATGAGACCAGGCATCTGGTGCTTGAGAAATTCATCAAGTCATTCAAGGCCCACGAACCACGGAAAGGATGGATTTTGTTCAAAGGGCAATGGGGAGCCACGGAAGGTGGTGGAGGGAGAGAGGAAAGGATCGGGGTGTTTGACAAGCAGGCGCCGTGAAGAGCGAGTGTGTAACCCAGAGGCCTGGGGGCTCTCGCAAGTGTCCCTAAACGAGATGACACCGGTGGGATCGGGATAGCAGTAACAGAGAAGCAGCAGCAGACGGCGTGCAAGTCGAGAAGGAGCCTGCCAGCCAAAGACACATCTTGCTCTGGGGGTGAGGGAGGCCGAGCAGCCCCCCAGGGACAGGGGCCTGTCATTCCCCCCCTCAGGCAAGGTGCCTCGGGGCTCTGTCCTCAGTTTCCTCCACCGTAGACAGGGAACATGCGTGTCCCTGCTCCACGGACCCAGGAGGACAGCACACCTGTGAAGGGTGCCTGGTAAACAGCAGGTGCTCAATAAGGCAAACTCAGCCAAGTCAGGGCTCCACGGGGAAGAGAGAGCGCTCTGGCGAGGTTAAGGACTGGCTTTGCCAGGTGGCATGCGATGCTCCCGAGTCCCATAGGACGGGGACACCGCAAGCCCCACCAGGCCTCGCATATCCAAACCAAAAACCACGGGCCCACAGAGCCGGCTGGAGGGCTGCACACTGCAGGCCCAGCCCATGCTGGGAGCACCCGTGCACACGGC